TGACAATATTCTAGTGCAGTCATTCCCCCGTCAATAACAGAGCTGAAAACAGGACTCATCAGTACTGAAGAGAAAAAGCTGGCCATACAACAGTAGAATTTTGTTGTTTGCAAATATTGTTTTCCGAACATTTGTTGACTTTTCTAGTAGATAAAGGGGTGAATTCGCTGATTAATTTTGACTGGAGTAACTAAACAAATCGAAGAGATTTTTTTGTCCAACAAATGAAGATCAGTGAATGTGGATTTCATCCCAGAAACTCTCTTCATTCCAAAATCGAATGTTAAAATCAAATGAAATTTTGAATGGCATTCACCAAGTCTCTGATGGCATTATTGACTGACTGTACTTACCAGATTTTTCAAGTGCTGAGTTAGCAAACCGCCGCTGAATGCCGTGCTGCAAGTCAGCGCTCGGCACTGCTAACTTAGCACTCGCAGTGGACGTGAATGTGGATGCAGAGCGCAGAGTGTGACGGAGAAGGTGGGGACAGAGCACCAGGGGCCATTTTAACTGTGGGCACACCCAGCAGCACTGGAGAAAGGTGCCTGAATACCGATGGAGGGAATCAATTCAGTGTGGCAACCTACAATTTAATGTTTTAGTGGACGAGCACACCAATATTCATTGGAAAATTGTATTTATTAGTCAAAAATATTATGCTCCGCCATTTTCAGCAGAATTCTACAGCCGAAGCGTTCAGTAAAGCTGCTGCAGCAAACTGAAGTGCTGCATAACAGCTACTCAGTGCTTGCTAAGGAACTGAAAATGTCAGGCTGCACAAGAATAAAAAGGAGTGACAACAAGATGAGGAAATTAGGACAACGTATAATTGTGAACCCCCATTTTCATCAATGTGCTGGGGCCTGTATGTATCTGCTGCTTCATATAACTTGGTTTAGGGCCTATTCACACATGTCAATTTTCATGCAGGAAAACTGCATCATTTTGCTGCAAGAAGATGCATTGCAAGTAGAAATCTCAATATTTCACATCCATGGGGTAGAGTTTAGTGTGAAAGGAAAATGTAAACTATATGGTCCCATTCACACCTACACATGTTCTTTACCACGTATGCTGCATGCACACGGAACAGTGTGAATCCAGCTTTAACATGGTTTTCCACACTTGTGAAGAAAGCTGGATGTACGTTTATGGACAGACGTAGGCCTCATTCACACTTGAGCCGTCAAATGCGTATTTCTCATGAAAAATGCAAGTGTATTTTATAGCACAGTGTACGTCTCTGCTTTCTGTTCTTGGCCTTCCAGCAACATTGATTGTAAAGTCACATATATCTTAATGCAGCTTCATTTGTATTTAACTGCGGAAAGAATGCACAAGTGTGAACAGAGCCGTACACTGAGAGATGACATGACCTTGGAAGCAGCTGTCCTGGGCCCCTTAAACACATTCCAAGATGGCCCAGTTATTGGTGTCATTGTAAGTGCTATGATATGAGTACTACAACCCATGTGACTAGTCAGAACTGCTCGAGAGCAGATTATATACTGTCCTAGGCCCACATGGGCTAAGCATTACTGGGCTTTATATTTAGGAGCTTCATTAGGAGTAGACAACTTCCAGCTGTTAGGGAACTACATGTCCCATGAAGCATTGTAAGACTGTTACAGCCACAGGCATGACTTCCAGAGACGGAGGCATTAAGGGATTTGTAGTTTTGCCGCAGCTGGAGTGCCGAAGTTGGCTACTTGGTCATATTATGCCCCATATATCTTGGGGACTTTTCTTGTTTCACGCTGGCCATACAATTTAAGATTTTTCTTAAAGAAACTAAACTAACTAAAGAACACGAATAGTGGTATCTTCCCTGCTGGCTATTTTATTGAGACAGCCGGTACCAGTGGCTGTCAGAATACTTGAACAGCGACAGTTGCTGATTAGCTGCAACCAGTGTTTGACCAGCTTATTTTTCACCCGTCCTCCTTGTCCGGCTGGGCAGTACCAGCCAGTCCTCTTGTGGATGGAATTTTGGTCGATTCAGCATGAAAAACTGCCAAAATTTGATTTGTGCATGGCCATCCTTAAGATGATAAACTGGATGAAAGTTGAGCCATTGGTGGCCCTGCTGGTAACGCCCGACTCAACAAGGCGACTAGGAGGGAAATTGCATGCCAAACACTGGTTGCAGCCCTCCTCTTGACAAAATTAGATATTTCAATTGATTTCAACTGACTATTTCCATCAAGTTATGTCAAAGGAGCCAGTCTGAAAATTATGAAATGAACGGAGCATGCAGCCAGGGTAATACAATAGCTGGCCATGGAAGGTTCGCCCATCCACCTTGTATAGCATGGATAGAGGAACCTGTTAGGCTAAAGGGACAAAAACATGTATTAGTGTAAAGCCAGCCTTAAACACTGTGATGGGCATTTACAAAGAAATATGTTACACCACAATATTATGGTTCCAGTTTTGGAAGGTGATATCTGTTTATAGTTGAGCACAGGCACTTTAGATCTTATCCAGAGTTAAACCAAGAACAAGAGCTGTTGGATGAAGACCAGAGACAGACATGTACACATTACACTGGAAAGAATGAACCTGCAAGTCTTTTATTGGGACTTCTCATCAGGATCCATCTCACATAAGCATTACAGAAATGCATTTGCAAGGGGTTGTGATGATTTGTTTTATCTTTCAATTCTTTTCTTTTTTGTTGTTGTTGTAAATGTTGTTTTTATTAGACAAAATAGATACAATAGAGCAGGGCTCAAAATTTCAAGTCCTGAGCTACTAGCCAGGCCTTAAGAGTTACTCGCCACCAGTCGCCCCACCTGACCCCTACCGTGCCCCGCCCTTAACTCCGCCAGGTCAGTGGTGTGACACAGAGAACAGAGATCAGTAACAATGCAGAGTGCAGAGGCCAGTGGTGTGATGCAGAGTACAGAGGCCAAAATAGAGCACACTTCAAGAAAATAAGTACAATACAATAACATATGGCACAGCAAAGTAAATACAACCTTTCATTCATTTCACAGATAGCTAACAATGTGTCTAAATAAAGAGAAGGCAAGAGGGTCTAGTGCCTGTCATGGACAAGGAGGCCCAAACCAAACAGACACTTAGTAAATAGTGTGTGATTCAATTATGGAGAGTGCAGATGTGTGAAAAAAATCAATAAATATGAACTATAATCAAACTTACAACCAAAACTTCTAAGCCCTAAAGATATAAAGTGTAGAAAGGAAGTCTGTTATCTTGAAAAGGAAACAGATATATTATGTTGAGATAACATAAGGATCAGAACAGTAGTGAAAGTGAAAAGTGACCCATCAGATGGGGAAAAAGACGAAAGAGAAAATTAAATGAGTGTAAGAAGATTAACGAGAACCTGATAAATCAGAAAAGTAAGAAACTAATAAAAAGTGCAGAGGTCACCAGCACAACA